CGTACGACGAGCTGGCAGAAAAGCGTTGTACTCTGTTATTCCCATAGTCGGTAACGTAGAGAGAGTTCGATGAATTGAAGAAAATATGACTTGGATTATTAAATTGATTTGCTGTGGAACCTGAGATTCCTGTGCCGTAAGCTGTGATTCCCGATGTACTCCAAATCAATGCCAGTGGAGCAGCTAAAAATACAATATGATCACGTTATGTTAGAAGACGTAGTGGTGCTATGAGTGGGAGCGTGTGGATTCTTTTTGTATATTTCGTCATTTGATAATGACGAATAACACACGAGAACTCGGCCAATGCTCGAATAGAAGTGATCGAACATCTTTAAGTCAATCTTTGTTTTTCATTTTTGCTAGATATACTCTAATTTTGACAAGAATTCATCTGAAAACTTTCATTTTGATAAACACCTTGGTTCTATCGCACACTTGATCAGATATATCAATAGTTCTTTTTACCTGTTGTCGTGTTGCTTGAAGCGGTGTTTTTGGTACTCATGATGAGAAAATACAAGCCAATTATAAATGCTGCTAGAGAGCAGGTGACGACAAGAGTTACCAAGCCAAAAGTCAAAATTTTCCAAGGCTTGAATTTCATTTTACCAGGAGTTGTTGTTCGATTTCTATTAGCAGCATGTATCGAACGGTAGTAAACACAATAAGAGGATAAGAAACGGATAATACTCACTGAAGAGGTATGTTTGATGATGTTTCGTTGGTCATTTGAGTCGATGAAGTACCATCAAATTGTTTCATTGGAATATTCTCCAATGGAAACACTTTGGCATTCGATACACTTAGTTGACTGAGAGTCGAACGAACTGAAATACTTTGTGACGCTGCAACCAGTGATTTTTGAGTGGATACATTGGAATTTTTCTTATGGACTTTCTGCATCTATAAAAGAAGAGAAGAAATCTTTTTCAATGAGATCTATATCTGTGAATGGAAAAGTTGCTTTCATTATTTTGATGTGTTCTGAAGGCATTAGTACTCGTGCTGGTGGAAATCTTTCCACGTCTTCCCTATGCTTTCGATGCTTATAGCGAGAAAATGAATGATGGGAGACACCACAAATACAACATTTTTGATTGTTTCTTTTTTTCTCACAGTCATTCATCTTATTCGTGTGCTAATATATGAAAAAGAATCCAAATCAGTGTAAGTAATCAAGCTACTCATCGACCGTGCATCACAAAGTATTTTTTGTGTACTACTGCAAAAGGATCGGAATTGAATTTTGTTTTTTAGCATCAATTGTGCAAGTGGGTGCGGAGTCCGTTAAAACAATGTTAACCCCTACAAACATACCATTATTTATTTCTAAGTAAACTTTAATAAATTCCTCATGGATTGGATATGGGTGCGGATCTTTTCTTGAGCCATATCCTCAATTTGAGTCGTGTTGATAGTAGAAATTTCAAACTCAATTGATGCATTGTTGTTGAGTTATGGATGCCACCAAAATGCACCTTTTGACAATAGTACTCTCAGACGAGAATGGAACAATATATTTTCAAACAGTTTGCCTCAAAATTCTTCAAACGTTTCTCTGTATAAGATGATCCCAAAATAGGTAGCGGCTCCGACAGTCGACCATGATTCCCATGGAATAACTCTTATCCAACAAAGAATTTGTTTTTGCATCTAATTAGGTTACTTTTATTTTTAGATTTGGTAAACAACAAAGATATGCATTATATTATATACGTATGTAAAACTGCTAACAAAAACGAAGAATACGTGAAGATGAATATAGATGAAAATTGATGACATAAAATAGCAAGATTTGTTTTTTTGTTTATTTTTATTATTTTAACTTGATTCTATTGGAAGAAATGTTTAGAGGTTTTCAATTTTCGCAAGTATCTCCTCCTGCTTTACTTCGTTGAGACACCCCAGTGAACACGGCATATTACTTGCTGTACAATATACTAAACAAAAAATAACCATTCGTCCTTGATTATGACGTGCAATATTGTCACGCGTTTTCTGTTCTTCTACCGATGACGATAAAGAAAATTCGTTTTTACGGGCGTATGCGCACAGTTTCCTGGCTTTCGAATGCGTAATTATTCTTATTATAGATATGCTTCTCAATTGCGATCAATATATACATGGATACATATAAATAGAGCATTTTTAATATCATATGAACTATTTGCATAACCTTCAATTACTTGTTTCCTGATAATAGTGGTATACTCAACGATTACGCATGATTGCTAATCCTAAATGTCTGTATTGCATCGTTCTATTGTCATTAGTTTTGTCAAGCTGCATGGCAAGAACAGTAGAGCGAGTAGAAGAAGACTTTAGTGCTGACACGAATCGTCTATCCAGTCTACTTTTAATGGTGAAGGCACATATTTTTAAGCGTAGTTGAAAGCATTGTTTTCCCATGTAACATAAGATCGCGTCAGTAACACAAAAACATGTCTCTTAGTGTGATCAAAATATTTGTATAAACCTCTCCTACTACGAGCAATTCTTTGATCATGTGATGTGCGAGTACATCATCGTGCGTAGATCTTCTTTTTTGTAATGGATAATATCATTGAATAGAAGGTTCTTTCGAATTACTCGTTCACTATGTAATCTTTAATAAAATTATTAAATTTGAAGCATTTATTCAAAGTTACCAGAGTTTTTGATTAAAAATTTCCTTTAAAATATACATTTGTCGTATGATTTTTCGATGGATGATACTAACATCAAGCAGTTTCTGTTAAGCGAATGCAATTGTTGAATTAGATTTTCTTATGCAGTATTTATTTATCACGTAATATTCGATAAAGTTACGAAATTCTAAATCATTGATTTGACATCATCACCATATTTCTATCGAGCTTTCCTCCTCCTTCGAAGCGTTCATTCAACAGATGATTTGTATTCATCCTAGTCAATATGAAACTTCTGTTTGAAATAACCAAAATATTTGTATCAAGTCTTAGTCCTTTGACGCATACGTTTAACGTGTAATTGACGATCACTTCATCAACACCAACTCTATCTTTAAACATAAGAAAAATGTTTGAAAAACACACTCAAGATTAAGATGTGAAATATTCATTTAACATAAGATCATCGACCATAATAATAAGTCAAAATATGTCTCTGAAGACGGTTATCATATTTGAATGTAATCTTCCTGTTGTAAAGTGTTCGTTTATCATCTCATCTTTGACAGAGCTATTAAGCCGAAATAGTGTCTTCGAGTCACTAACATATTTGAACACAGTCTTCCTGTTATGATACACTCATTTACTACACGATAATAGTTTACACTACAGATTCGACATCAGTGTTGTGAAACAACACAAATATCTGATTAAAGTCTCCTTTTCAAGTGTTCATTTCCCATAAGACATTCGATTCTACTACTAAATCTAAATCTTTCCTTCAAATTGACCAAAATATTTGAAAAATGCATTGGTTTGAATCATTCATTAGGAAAAAATCTATGATCGAATTATAAATGTTAATCTTTTCTTAGAAACAACCAAAATATTTGAATTAAGCCTTCAAGTTCTGAAACATCCATTTTGTACGGGTTCTTCAATCATCTTACGAACTCGAATCACCTTTTCTGATCCACGAAAAATATTCGAATAATCCATTCCTTCCATGTGCCTATAAATTGTGTTAGCCTGCATAATGTTAAGAAATATATTAAACATTTTCAATTCAACAAAATAAATAAATACCGTAAATATATTCGTTTTTTGTTTTCAACCAACCGAAAATTCTTATTTGTTTTAGAAACTATGATCAATGAAGTGCAACATTCCACTCAACAGTACTATGGTTTCAAAATAAATATTCTTTACTTTTTTTTTTGTTTGAATTATTCTGTTCTAATAAAAGTTTTATATCTACCGAAGTTAATATCAGTGATGGAATTGCATGGATCCTTTTTTTTATCTTTCTGTTAGCTTCTTACGTAAATTGAATCAGTACATTGACATTTCAAGCAAGAGATTTGAACGAGAAAAGATGTCCTTAATAACTAAGTTTAAAAAGGGCTTGCGTATGAATGCAATAAGCGTCAACGATCGCATTCACATCAATGCCCACACTTTCAAGAACGAGAAAAATCAAAAGATAGTTTTGCTTTTATTTCAATAAACTTGAACAGAATAATTAGACCCAAGTCGAAACAAGGATAAATAAATACGAATTTGAAGTAAGTCAAGTAGTAAATCATCTGTTAATTCTCCCAATATACTAGATAACTTTGTTTGAGTTTCCTTTAATCAGAAAAAGAAAAGACTTTCTATAAAATTATAAAGAAAATATTTACTTGAATAACATCGATGATCTTAGCTACATCAGTTTGTTTAATAAAATTCTTCTCTTCAATGCTTTTATTTCCATAGAATAACTATTAAAAAACAACATTAGGTTTCAGAAAAAAAAGTCGTATTTTCTAATTTACTTCTGTTATAGTAGAAAAAATAATAATTAATCGTCGAAGACATGAACTTGAAAGTATTATTTGAAGAGTTAATGAATCTACAAGACCTTCATCCGTATCGACTTTCATCTCTTGTTGTTTACATTCAATATTAATCACATCCGTTTGACCAATTAATAATCGTCGAGCAAGATTCATGTTCAATTCTGAAATAAACCAAAAAAGTAAGTCTTACGAATACGAGTATTGAAGAAGCATTTTAAATGTAAGACAACGAAATTCTCTTATATACTCTATCGGTTTGTTTTTACTTTGAAAATTTTTTGCAGCATCGTTACGAATCGTGAAAGCTAAATGATATTGTTGAATTGATAAATTATTTAATTTGGGTGCTTTAAATTTATTGGTGAAATAATTTTCAAGCGAAATTTGTTCTTGTTGAATTTGTTCTTGTAGTGGTACAATAATTTTTTTTAAAGCTACTTGAAAATGAACTTGATTCTGATGTCGAAAGATGAGTATTGGCTGACAAATATATGTACTTGTGATAGTATCACTGATTTTAAATATCCAATCATTTATTGAGTTTAATTGATAAATTTTAATATTATTCGATGAAAAATTACATATTAAAATTAATATAAAATCATTTAATTGAAATATTCTTAATTGTTGCTCATTTAGAATTAACTTCCATTGATTATTAACTAATTTTAAACAGGTATTGAGATTTAATTGATAGAATATTTCTATTTTATGGAATATTCTTTGTAATAAACAAACATTGGCTTGTAAATTAGTTATAGTTGCTGTTAAACATGCAAGTTTTTTTGTTTGATTCGATAAAGAATTTATTTGTATTGGATTCGAAGCATTCGGCAGAAGATTATTTACTCGTTCAAATCGACCATTATCATAATAAATTATTATTTCTTGTCCATCTAAACAATAGAATTTCAATGAAGCATAGTTTTCACACAAAATTCAATCGTCTAGTCTAGAAAAGTACCCAGTTTTTACATTTTCTATCAGATTCGTTTTTAAAAAAATGCGTATAATATCGCAAATGCAAAAATGTTATTCAGAAACTGTTCAATAACTTGTCAGTTAAAGTCCATTAGTAACCAACTCCTGTAGAAATTTTAAGTAGTGTATACATTACCAACGATTAATTTTAGAAAATGTCCAAATCTTAAAGTTTTAGTTTGACTAATAAAATCTTCATTGGATAGTTTTAACAAGTTTGCAATAGCTATTGATCGAATTTCATTCTTAGTTATGTATATAAAATTATGCAAATAAATACATGGAGATTTAATTAAATTATCGAGAAGTATTCGACGAAGATTGGTTGAATTTATTAAAATTATACTTCCAATAGATTCGCATAGAATTAAATGATTTAGTGTTAATTTTGGAAATTTATTATCTGCTGTTGAACATAAAACAGCATCCAATAAATTTCTATTTAAATCATAGTAAAGACCAAGGATCGTAATCGGATTTGTGCTTAATGAAGTATGCCAAATAATTGGTTTTGAATCTTTTGATGATTCTGGTAGAGCAACAATTCGACCATCGGATAAACAAATTAATAAAACAAAATGATCTTCGTCAATGACTATGTGAGAAAAAAGACGTTGATACAATGAAGTATCTAATAGAAACCAATAGGAATAGAATGTTGAATTAAACGACGCTTGCTTTTTCGATGTTGACGATGAACAAAGATAAAATAATGGAGAATCTAATGGTAATGTACATTCATCATCTTTAAATGAGATTCTAGATTTACTTAATTCTTTTTTTGATGCCCATTTAACATTTATTTCTATTTCGTCTATATAATATTCAATAGTAATATCAATATTTTCCAAAAGTTTACTTGAAAATTTGTTAAATATCATGTTACGGAGAGTTAACGAAAGTTCAGTTTATGATTCATTCTATTCGTTATATTCATCTCGTTTGTTTACAACAAATAGAGAAAGAAAAGAAATAACCATCGTCACGTTGTCACCACAGCGAAAGAATTAATTATACTATCAGTTTATTGTTTCCAATCCTTCGAAATTAATTTTGTTGGTGTAAATGTAAAGATTTGCCGGAGCTTGCAGCTGATTTCTTAAATATTTGATTAGATTTCAGTGTCATCGTTTTAAATAGAAAATGATTAGATCTGAAATCTACTCTAAATTGATCCAGTAATAAGATTGGTTTTCAATTAAAACGATAGTCTTTTATAGTTCTTGTTCTTTGTCGTTAATCTTTTTATTTTCGATTCTATCAAAATTCCCTGATCTGATTATTCTGTGACATCATCTATCCCTTACATAAATTTACTTGTCTTTATTGAGCATTTCAATCGGAAATCCTCTTTTTTTCTTCTTCTCTGATATAAAAAGATAGCACATTTTCATCATATCGTTCTTTTTCTCTGTAAGAATATTTATAAATAATCTATTGCAATAAATATAGATCTATTCAACCAACGCAGTGCGTAAAAAGAGAATAAATTTGATCGAGTGTCTGATAATGGGTAAGAACGCCTGCGAACAGTGAAGGTTTAATTAAAGCAGAGAAGAGAAAAAAAGAGATCGTGTCAGTGACACTTGTAATCTTTTTTTCTGCTGCGTACGACATCAGAGCAATGTATTAATCATTTTTCAAGGTAACATATAGTATTTCGTTTTATTTTCAGCCTACGTCTATTTATAAAGCTATAATCCTGATCCATTTTCATTCTTTTCTTCATGATAGCGAATCAGACAGCTTAGATTGACTTTTTTTTCATATGGAAGTGGGGGACACATACTTTTGCTCCAATTAGACCAGGTTAAGATAAAAATTATTACTATTCGGACATCAGTAAATGTTTCCTTTCGTTTTCGTCTAGCAACACTTGAGCATTGACGTCACTGCTTCAATAGAAGCAAGACCAACAGTCAAAAGAAAAAAGTGTTTTAGGGCATAGATTATTCAGCATCGTAAAGTATTGCGTGTTAATTATGCCCATGTATTATTGGTGCTTCCAATGATTGAACTATTAAGGTCTGACGTAGCGTCGAGAGCAGCTTAAATAAATTGCTAATCTTTTGAGATCGAGATGTCAGTAACGAGAATTTTGATTACGATTCAACAGGATCTAACTGAAGTATTTACACTTGAGAATTATTTCGATACAATCTATGTTAAAGATGTTATGTATAAGAGTCCATAAAAATTCATGACGTAGAATCGTCTATATGTGATGATATTTTATTAAAGAATATTTAACTTTCTCATGTTTATTAGAAGGATTGATTAACTGGTGTATTAATAATACTGCTTAAAAGTTTTTTGCAGCAAAAAATACAGTATATCATTTTCCATCAGTCTTCTGTTAAATGAAGTGCTAAATAAATGCTAAGAGAAATTTCGATTTCGTGACGTACATATCATAATTCGTTGAGACTCGCAGCACAATTTTTCTTTTGTGAATTTAAGATAAATAAATAAGAATATTTCTTATCCGAGAGAGAGAGAGAGAGGGAGTCGAATACTATTTAATTTTCCAATAATCTACGATCATGCTCGTACAACTCTGCCATCGGAAAGACTTTTCTCAATAAGTAGACCATTTTACATTGGACAGACACTTAAGCTAGCACGAGTAGAGTACTAATATTTAGTTGCTATTGTTACTGGGTGAAAAAAGTTTTTATTATTATTATCTGATATAACATCTTCATATCTTATTACTCTCGAACTATTTGAAATGATGAGAATATTAGTAAATCACTTTTCATAATTAAAAATTTCGCGAGTTTAATCGTTCTAGACACCTAAAAAAAGGAATGCCAGTTTTACTCGAGATATGCATTTATACATTTTAAACGCAAAACTCATTAAATATGTTATGAATCTTTCATGTCGATTTATCTGATAAAATTATTCAGTCGACTCAAAACGTATCATGTTACGATCTATGTTTTCTATAGATTGTTTTACCCTATTGTTTCCGTAGGTATTGTATTGCACACATGAAAAATGCATTACAACGCCGACATCTCTAACAACAGGTGTCTTCCTTCTTTCTTTTATTTTCTTTCACAGCTCTATTCACTCATATGATGAATTTTTTTCTTTTCTTTTCTTTTCTGTAACGAGCTACGAGAAAATGAAAATGCAGATAAAAATCTCTATTATATTTCTTGACATATCACGATTGCTCTAGCATGCGCCGTAGAATAGTACAAGGAGAAGAAAGAGGAGAAAAGATTCGAGACGTGTTTTAGTTTACCAAAGTTTTTATCATTTCTCAGGACTTGAAAACACAGTAAATGACGTACATGTCGTTTAGCAACGATTTCAGTTGTTGTGGCTTATAAAGGTATTAAATAATCAGTTTACTACTCTCTTTATTTTGTTTGCATCGAATATATCAGCCAAGGAGAACTAAAAAAAAGTCATATGAAAACCGTAAGTAAGAGATGAAAGCTATGTAATTATTGTCATTATCATAGATTACACAGGCATATATAATTAAATAAGCAACTGTCTGACTAAGTTTGCAACATGTCTACTATAGACGAAGAAGAAATTCTGAGTGGCAAATAGATTATTCGACAGTTAACTCTGAGTTCTTTCATCATCATCTATGACAACTATTGTGTGCATGCCATTGTTTTGTATTTTACTCCACAGTCCACGACACAACTGTCGCGAATGAGGCGAAGAAGAAGAGTTATTGATAAATAGCCCAGTAATTGAGGCTTATCTCTTTTTTTCCTTCTTCTTTATATTTACTCGTTGTCATCTTCTTTATAAGTGATAGTAGAATGAAGCGAATCAGAGGCCTATTCGAAACGTAATCGTATTTCATTTCGTCATGACTATCTCCATACTACGCGCGAACTGTTATTCATGTAAAAACAAGTGATGTTTTCTTTTCAACTTCAACTCACTTATTATCTTGATATCAGTAGAAAAAGAAAAAGAGTGACGCTTAAATTAGACGTTCTTGTTCTTTATCGAAAGCGTCCCTGCCATGAAAATACCGTTGCTGACGTCTGAAATAATGATAAAATAAGGTTTGTTTTTCACTTTTAGCGCTCAAATAGAATTAGTTCGGCAAAACAAGAGATCGCAATGACGTCGAAAGGCCAGCGACGACCAACTGCAGTTATTTCAGAACGTAAGTTATACAGTTTAAAATCGCTTTTCCTCTTGTTCATGTATGCATTTTATTTATCTACAATTCTTTATCAGAAAATGCGTCAAATGTGCCAAGAAGTAACGCCTTGGGAAGTTCGACATGTAATACATTTTTTGCTTAAGTGTTTTTTTAATTGAGTTATACAGCAAAATAATAGCTCAATGAAATAATTTCGAAACTAATATTTCCTTTTCTCTCTCACTACTAGACGACGTAAGAAATGCAGAAGAAGGCGTTGGCATATGTGGTTCAATTCTTGTTGTACTATCGTATGTTCTTTGTGCATTGACATTTCCATTTTCACTGTGTATTGCTGTAAAAGTAAGTCGAAAAAGAAATCTTTTTTTAAATTATAAATTAATTTCGCAGGTTGTTCAAGAATATGAACGAGCCGTTATTATGCGTCTTGGGCGAATTCTTTCTGGTAGATTTTCACATTACGAATATAATGAAACTATCATCTTTTGTTGCCAGGTGGTGCCAAAGGCCCAGGATTGTTCTTTGTTTTGCCATGTGTTGATACAATCATGAAAGTTGATCTACGTACCGGTTCGTTATTATTTTCTCGTTAACCATAATCTGAAAAATAATGTCTTTCTGTGTTGTTTTAGTTACATTCGACGTTCCTCCTCAAGAAATTCTTACACGCGATTCTGTGGTTTGTAATTCTAAAGTACATTTAAACGATCCTCTTCAATCTTTGGTTTTCATCTAGACAGTGTCGGTAGATGCTGTTGTCTACTTTCGCATATTTAATCCAATCATAAGTGTTACTAATGTTGAAAATTCACGTTATTCAACACAATTACTTGCGGCGACAACATTACGTAATATTTTGTAAGTTATCTTTATGTCAATAATTAAATTCAATAGAAACGTTTGGCTATAGGGGCACAAAAACGTTACAGGAAATTTTATCTGATCGTGAAAATATTTCACATTCGATGCAGGCTCATCTCGATGAAGGTACAGATCCATGGGGAGTGAAGGTTGAACGTGTTGAAATGTAAGCTAATATTATTTTACACGTTTGATAACATCGATCATTTCTTTTAGAAAAGACGTCCGATTGCCTGTCAGTATGCAACGTAGTATGGCAGCTGAAGCTGAAGGTCAGATATGATTTATATTTTACTGTATAACTCGACTGGAGAGTTTTTTTCTAGCTGCTCGAGAAGCTCGTGCGAAAATCATTGCTGCTGAAGGTGAACAGAAAGCGTCACGATCATTGAAGGTAACAGTTTTTTTTATTGCAAATAAACAGATGTTTGAATAATTTTGTTTTTCTATATTTAGGAAGCTGCTGATGTTATTAATGAGAGCCCAATTGCATTACAATTACGTTATCTTCAAACACTAACACATATATCAGCTGAGAAGAATTCGACTATTGTTTTTCCAATACCTAGTAAGAAAAATTTTTGTATCGGAAGTTTCATAAATTTTTCATTTTTCTCATTTCAGTCGAACTTTTAAGATTAGTGAACAGGCGAGGCTCGAGCAATGGCTCGACTGGTTTTTGAACGATATTCAATAATATCCATTTTTTTATATCTGTGATTACTATTAATCAACAAATAATCGTTTTTTTCTTATTATTACTATAAATAAAATAAAAAAATAAGGCCGATTCGAAATTACTTTGTAATATAAAACTAAGAATTAAGAACGAAAAATAACTTAGATCGAACTGTTGAAGACGAATTTGAAAATATTGATTTTAGTTCATTTCTCTACTAAGGAGTTATTAAAGTTTTATTGAAGTATGAAAATTTGCGTAGATAAAAATTTTCAGCTATAACCAGGTTTACTGCGTAGATCTATTTTTGTGTAGAATAGTGTGGGTGCGCATTTATATGGTAGACTATTTTTTATCAAGTATAGTCATTATCAGTATCGAAAGACGTCACGAATGACATTAGATTATTGACATGCTATGCGACAAATAATGGCAACTGCAGAATGAAACTTAAATAACAAACATTGACATAGCTATAAATCGGATATAATGATGACCTTTCAATAAAAAATGAGCAAAAAATTACTAATAATAACCCTGTAGCGTAATGTAAGTTTCGAACAAACTCTGGCTTTTGTTTGTATTAAGTAAGATTCGCACAGTGATTACTTATGAATGTCGTGATCGTTATAACATTAACTTCTCTTACAAATTATTGAGCTAGTTTTCGTAGTGTTGCGCTTCAGAAACTGAATTATTTCCATAGATTTGAGAAAAAAATTGAAAAATGACATTTGATGTTTAGATGTAAATATTGATAAGGTAATTAAGAAGAAAAAAACAAACTAATCATCAACGTTGCACGTTTAGTCGTATCGAAAGAAAACTTTCAACATCATGCTCTCCAATTTTTTTTCTCTGTTGAAACTTTATCATCTGTTAATATATTCAACAATCTCAATATAATATTTCGTACGTCTATTCGTAGTTCATTCATTTGATTATATAAGCCTATTAACAATTATTCTCTTATGAAATATAATCGCCAATATGACGTGTTTCAATGACGTTCTCTGCCTACTGCCAATGAAAATAAATAAAGACAACTTGATTATCTCTGTGTCTGTGTTATTTAACATTAATGATGTATGATGACTGGTAAAGAGAACCGACGAGATTAGTTTTCCCTATTATGAAAACGAACCTGGATACATTCGGTTGATGATAGAAATATCTATCAGCATCTTTAATAGTGATGATTGATATAGAAAAGTAGATAATAATGAATTAAAAATTATCCGAAGACATCATATAAGATATTTAAAGCTTCTGAATACATATATCTACTTCTATCTCGAAGGCGAGTGTAAGTAATTTTGTCACAAAAGACAAAATATAACCAGTTCTATTTTTGTACAGATCAATGATAATTTTCAGTAGCTACTTAGCGGATAGCCTTTTTTCATGTAAAATGTTTAATATTAAAAGAGTGTTCGAGAATAAAATATTAGGTTATCAACACAACAATAATGTCAAGAACTGCTTAAGACAAATGGCTGCAATATTCAATGATTTGGAGCCACATCCTTTGCCAACACGTCGCCTCTGACAATAAACACGGGTTTTTGCTCTTCTTGTTCGCCATAAACACCTTTAAGAGTACAACAGCAGCACAGACACGTCCAAAAGCCATTTTCATTATAACGAGCTCCGGTGGTGGTATATCGATAGTAACCATTCGATGTCTAAAATATTCAAAATTACTCTATCTATCTGTATGTGTTTGCGGGTGAAAAACTGAGAAAATCATAAATTCGATCTAAAATCAATGCCATAATTAGAATCTTAAACTGAATATGATCACCGGACTGCTTTTTCCAAATTTCTATTATTTTATCGAGTTTTTTTCAGTAAGAAACTGGCATCTTTTTTGACATCGATAAATAGGACTTATAATAAGTTTATTTTTCAAACCATTAAGCTCAAACTATGCACGTACCTCTTTGTTGTACATAAGGCTTCCATCCACTGCAATTTGCATTTTAACGTTGCCTCCGTTTGACCATTCTCCTACAAAATTTTCGGGTGGCTGTTGAGCACAACACAAGCAAATACCCATTTCAAAACCTTTGTATTTTGTTTGTGGGTTACTCGATTACAATTGAAGTGTAAGTCACGTTGTTATTTTCCTTGACGAACTATCCGAAAAAAAGAAAAACCATAGGATGATGAGATAGAAAAGGTTTTCGTTGGCAAAATAGAACAGGAAAAATTGATTTTTCAAATACTCAGTTCAACTATGAGAGGTTTTCTGCAGCGTATGACAATACTAAAAAACAGTAGATGAATATTTACAAATCTGTTAGGTAAACAATAGAAAAGCCTCATGTCTGCATTAAGATATTCTTTTCTTTTTGCGTCGATAGTATTGAGTGATCTTTTGAATACGCATAAAAACAAATCAATAGTTTAAATTTTGACCAATTTTTCGCATAATAGGATGATCGTTGATTTTTTTCATGAATGATCCTCTAACATATACCATAGTAAATCATATACTACGAAAATGATTGATTTCTATAGTTGTTTTTATAAATTCTACACTTCTATATGATAATTTGAAGTGTAATTGAATAGAAAATCTCTCGCAATACAGGCAAAAAAAGTTACTGATTGGTTATTTATACAAGCTTTTCTTGTAAGTCGAGATCATTTTTTCACTATTATACAATGATCAAACAGAAGAAATTCTATCTTTGCAGAATACGACTGCACTGGCAAATAGAGAAATCCGATCAAATCTGTAATAAAGGTATAATTGCAACAGCCTCACATATATTCCTGTTTAGCAGAGCTTCTCCTGTCGTTCTCCTTGAATTCCTACCTTTTTTTTCTATTGCAATTTGTATTGGTTTATCTGTTTCCTATATTTATCTTATCTAAAATAAGAAGGGTGTCGGTGAAGGGTATATGTGTATTCATATGTCGCATATATCGGAAAATTAAACTAAAACTAAATCTAAGAATAGATTTAGTTTTAGTTTAATTTTTTCTTTTCTCCATTTATACTCGAACTCGAATTAGACAGCTACGCATATATCTATAGATACCAGCGAAAAACATATTCGACACATAATTTATACGTATTCACATTCTATTTTTTATCGATTTTGTTTGCTTGATTTGATTCTCTTTCATTCTGCTGATGCGCTACATGATACACGAGCATTAGCATTTTTTATGACACGTGTTCTTTGGGTAGAGTAATAAAAGTATAATATTTTTTCGCACTTATTCATCAATGTAAATTGTGAAATTACATGAATTTTTAATTAAATAGCTGAAGCCAAGTTCGAATGAACAAAGTCATTTGTATTGTTTGTTTAGTATCACTATTATCGTTTCAACATATCATAACTAATAACTGAATTTTTCGAACACGGGGATATTTTTTACACGATGAAACAGTGAACGCACTGTTATATGGAGCAGATAATTCCTTTTAATTATTGCAGTAATATACTAAATGTTTTAAATTATAATTTTCATGTTTTATCGAAGAAGTGTAGTTTCTTTTCATGACAGTTAACCGACATTAATACCTTGAGTATCAAAGAAACAAGTGATTATCGATTGGTATGCTTGTAATAATAATATCAATAAAAGCATGTAAAAAAATTCCAAGACAAATCAAGTTCTCCATCTCAAATATATTGGTAGAATATTTATATACAATTTCTCCTGGAACACGCATCTCAAAAGTGAATAGATCAGATTAATACACTTTATACAAGAGACAGAACATATTTAATGCAATGGAAAAAAAACGAAGCTGCATGTACATAGTGAAAAAAAGATAGGAACTTGTAAAACTTTTGAGTTAATCTTTAGAGTATTAATTTTAGTTTTGAAATAGTGTACATTTTCTATAAAATATTAATTTTTTCCTTCCGTTTCCTCTAAAAATTCATGAATGAAATTACAATTCATAGTATTCTTTCTTCTTGGTCAGTTTGGAAAGAGCAAATTCGAATAGACACGCATAGACAGAAAAGTGTGTGAAGCAAAGTGTGCAAACTTTGCTTGTGAACAACTGGTATATTGTCTATGTGCAAGAACTATATTAATTCGTTAGCGCATGCCAATGTTTTATTTATGTCCGAGGCAAGCCATGCCGTCTCACCATATTTAATGCTTTGCGGTCGAATTCAGCTCCATTATTTCTATATGCGGCTGCTACTTCTAAAAGGAGAGTCAACTAAAAATAAATAACCATGAGGAAACAGAAATGTTAAGAGAACTGACCAAGATTGTAATTGGAAATTGTGTACTGATTGATTTATTAGAACGCCTTAACTGATTGTGCGAACGAGGAATTTCTGTAATTGGTGTATCCAAGTATTTATCATCAACTGGTTTATTTTCGTTTTTAATACATCTAGGTGATGACTCGTACTGATATGTAGAAATAGCGTTGGTGTACCCAGGTCAATGATTCCGGAGGACGGATACCGTAGGAACCGACAGGAAAGATGCGGAAAAATCACCGTAACTAGCCGGAAAGCGGAAGCAGTATTCCAATCGGAAATTGACGGATTTTTTCCGGTGTATTCCGGCCATCTTTCAGCCGGAAAGCACAGGAAACTGACCGGAATCCGTAGGAAAAAAATCCGGTAATTTCCGGGCGGAATACTGCTTCCACTTTCCAGCGATTTTCCGTACTTTCCGGCCGTTTCCCACCGTACCTCTACGACCTGGGTATGCTGTAACGATAAATAAGTGACTCGGTTTGGTTTATATCGTAGTGACAAACTGGATAGAGGTGGAGTTGCTTACAGCCTAGAGTCCTGCGGGACTATCCTGAAATGTTTTCGGGGCGGGACGAACGGGATTCGGGACACGACAAAGTTTGTCCTGCAGGTTTCTATTTAGCACCGATAGGTGCTACACTGACAAGTTTTTTCACTTAGATAATAGAAAGATAAACAAAGTCAAGTTCAAAAACAATTTAAAAAAGAAGCTTTTAACGCAAGGTGAAACCTGGAGCGAAAATAGTATTGACAAATGTAAAATGTTGATGAAAACTTGCTATTCCTTGAAGAAAAAAAGATCACTCGTCTATCTTATAAGAATCTTTAAGCGTACGTACAAAAAAATTCAAGCGATGCATGCAGAGAATTATCGCTATGAACTAATAGGAAATAAGTTATAATCTCCAGTGTTGCTAGCATCTGCGTTATATTATAGATATCAATTACAGAATTTATGTTAATAGTTAGATGCTTTCCTAAAAAGCACTTGCTTTTCTTCATGAAAATATTCGATTTCTCAAAAGAAAACGGCATTTAATCAACTTATTTTATATGAAGTATAACAAAAGCAAAATTTTCGAAATTTTGGTTGTAAAATTTCTACATAGATTTTGTAATAAAAATCTGATGGTCTGTATCTAATTTTAATCTATTCTAGTAAGATTTAAATCTCTTTAAATTCGATTATTTCAACTTGTTAAATATCGGTTTAAAACAAAAAATACGATCGTTATTGATCATAGAGCTTTGTTTATTCTTTAATTGAATAAATTTAAAGAAAGAATTTGCCATTTTGACTTCATATTAATTTCTTTTTAATATCATGATGAAGTTTTATTTAAAAACAATTAAAAATGATCTTGACAAGAACATTGTCCACTCGTATGAAAATGATGAATACGATTAGCATCACGTACAATGATTTCACATTGTCGAATTTTTGCAATGAGTTTCGTCGCACGATCTAAGAAAATAGCCTTGAAACAATATTTCGATATCTTTTTGACTTACGACAATCTCCGCAGACACGTAGATTTTTTGTTATCTGAATAAATGATGGTCGAGGATATTGAATGAAATTAAATGCAATAGCAAGTTTTTCACAATGACCACATAATACAGATTCAATAGTTTCCTCATTTTTAAGTGGACGTGTAATCCAACTTGAATCATATTCATGGCCATGTTCTTTTAATTCATTTGATAAACGCACAAGTTCAGCATACATTTCATCGGATTGAGGATGAGAACGATCATGAGCTTGAAACCTCTTAAAGAAACAAAACAAAAAATGGTCATTGCCGAAAACGTTTTTTTTACCACAACTTGACCATTAACTTCAGTCCATGCTACACCAACTGTGATATTTTTACCAAATTGTTTTATTCGCTCGAGCCGTATTTCTTTTACTTCTTGATTATAGCCCAAAGATGAATAAATGTTTGATAATAGAATTGAAGCAGAAATCAAGTGAGATTTTTCATCAGGAAATAATAATCTCATTCGATTGTACAATTTTTCTGATAGAGCAACATGACGATAATTTCGAGCAGCTGATAACATGGCTGCTGCACAAAAGAGCCAGGACAAATAAATGATTAACTTGTTAATTCGAGAATAACTTATATTAAAAAAATGAATTTCTTACTATACATAATCAAATTAGGTAAATTTGACTTTTGATAATCATCAACCAATTTTTCTGCTTGATCAAACATGCCCATACGACTAAGACAATCAATCTAAAGTATTAATAAATAGATTGTTTTCTATTGATAATCAATAGTCAAACCATTGCAGTAACAATTTCTACTGATGTTTTATCGATTTTGTTGAATATCATTCGAGCTTGATCAATGAGACCCGAATGAGAACACGCATTTAAAACACAAATATGTGATACTCTATCACGAATATTTTCATGTATTTTATTATATAAATCAATTGCTTCATAACCCATTCCATTTCTTGCATATGCATTCACTAAATCATCAAAGATAATAAATATTATTCGTAAAAGAACAGGCAGATGATATAGAAATAATCATTTATTTATTTACTCATAGAAGTATAGGTAACAAGACCAGGTTGAGAAATCGATTGAAATATTTGTTTTGCTTGATTAATATCACCTGATTTACCCTATTGAAAGAATCTTAGATATTCAATAGATCAAATTTAAACAACTTATACCCACATATCGATTAAAGCAGTGTTTAGATAAATATTCGATTGTGAAAGAGGTATTTGACGAACAATATTTTGACAAATTGAACGTATCCCTATTTGAGAACATGCTCCAATTAATGATAAAGAAATAGATTCATCTATTGTTATATTTTCTTTTTTCATTTGTTCGAAAAGTGAAAGGCATTTTTGTGGTTCTTGATTGATTTTATAACCATTGATCATTACACCATATGTATATGAACTGTGTTGCTTAATTTGTGAAAATAGATATTTGGCAATTTCTATTTCATCAAATTTCATAAACATATGAATTGCTGAGGTGACCAAAATAATATGATTAAGATATATTTTTGGCATTTCATGAAAAGTCTTCTTTCCAAATTGAATAGCTTTTTCATTCGATAATGAAGCACATGCCTTAAACACAATTCCATATAAAACTTCATCAGATTTTAAAGTATTTTTTTTCAAATAAATGTAATGCGTTCTCAAATAAATTATTCTTAACATAACCTAGAACAAAACAACACATGTATTGGGTTGATCTTTTTCTAATTAATTACCCTGCATCATTGCTCCATAAGTTATGAGAGTTTTCTTTTGCATTTTTTCGAAAAGATTTTCAGCTTGATTAACATCGCCAAACTTCATCAACATGTCAATAGCTGAATTAACTAAGGTTGGATTTCGAAGAAAAGAAACTGGTAATCGATTGAGTGTATCTCTTCCAAGTTTAATTGCTTGACTATTACAAAGTTTGGCGCAAGCATTAAATAATATAATAATGAGCACTTCATCTACTTCTACTGATATTGTCTCAAATAATTCAATAACTTTTTCAGGCATATTATTTGAGATATAACCTAATAATTAATGAACATTTGAGAAAAAGAAAACAAATACAAATTACCTTTGAACATTGCACCATACATATGAACTGTTTTATTTTTAACGGATGAAAATATTTTTTGAGCTTGATCAATATCATGACATTGCACTTGAAGAAAAGGAAAAGACAAAATCATTTGATAAAACTATCCCTACTCGAACTTTTTTTTTCAAGCGCTTGACAAGACTTGAACTCAAGATGTGTCCATAGCGCAGGACCATCTTGCCGAAGACGTTCAAGAAGATCATGCGCATGTGCACAAAAAAATTATAAAAATTCTTGGTATAGGTAACAACGTTTTTTCTTCAAAAAATGCTCATTTATAGAAGAAAAATGTTCGATTTGGATGCATTTTTTTACAAAAATTTCTCTTATTATCCGCATGTCAAGAAATATTTCAAGATGTGTCCATAGCGCATG